TTTTTTTCGTCGTATGACGACTAAGACCGCTGTAGATATAATGGGCTACGCATAAGTTTTGATTTACAGCCGTGATGATATCTGTGAATGTTTCTGGTGATGTAAGTACACGTAGTTCCATCATATTGTCCCTAGTGGGGGAAATCGAGGCTTAATTTTCTATATTTCTTCATGGTCTGATCTCTTGCATATTTTTTAAACCACCAAATGCCCAAATTAACATTTCTAAACACTTTCCACTAAAGCTGTCATGTCTGAATAGTGATAATTTGGAACATAGGACAAATCTTACACTCACATGTATATTGTGTCGCTTAAAATATGTACAATATAGGCCTATGTCATTGAACCAGAGGAGCCGACAGTAGGAAACAGCCATTAGTTCTGAATACAAGAAGAATGAGACGTGAGTGCAGTGCGCGGCCGTCCCTAGCTGCTTGTAGGAAGTTTCTATCAATATTATCAATATGCCTTTGAAAGCAATATCCCAGGCGACCTTCCTCCTCGCGCAGGGGATGCCCCACCTTCCCCTACGGGGTAAATTCGCTGTTTCATGATTATTTAATTTCCTGGCTCGACGCTCCAAATCCTCAACGAAATTTGGTAGGTTTTTGTATTACATATTTAGTACTAACAGTTCCCATACATTGCTTCTATAGCTATTTATTTATGCTTCGTGGCGAATTTAAGTAGGCCGTATAGTACCACTAAATAATGTAATATAGGTCTATAATTTTTCTATACTGCAAATGGATAGATTTGGACTCTTCTGTAATATGCGTGGTTTGATGTTCTCATAGCAGTGACTAACAAGATTAGCCACAAGCCTACACAACTCTGTGCTGACGCCTCCCCCCATTGGGACGATTCACCAAGAAGGAGCCTGAATAATATTTTACTTGAACGTTTTTTAATTTTTTAACTTTAAATTTTAACGTTGACGACTCGGTTTTGAGGGTGGTCTTTTAGATGCAAGTGCTATACCTGCATTCAAGATACTGGGAAGTGTTGTGCTTTACACTCCGTTATATGTAATAGTTTCCACGAATAATTACATATTGTGAATGTTGAGCTGTGCCAGTGTTTTCATGGTTTGTTGTAAGTGCCTCTGAAGATGGTTCCTTGGAACCGAAACATGTAAGGCAGATGAGATAATTAAGTGATCAAAATATATATTGTTGCACTTGACGGAAAATCTATTGACAATTAAGATTAGGCTGTTTACATTTCACCGAAACTTCCATACACTTCTACCAGGCTTCACGTTGTAATATTTCAGAAGTTAGCGTTCTCATATATTCTTATATATAATGGTGAGAACCTCAAGTCACGTAAATTATTTCAAACGCTGAATAGTGAATCCGTAACTTATTGATCGCTCTTGTCTTCATGATGCATATGTGGTCAGTTTGTGAGTCGCTAATGAAAATTAACTTCATGCAAATTTATTGCATAATTTTCTCATTGATCAGATAAAAGCAGAGTGGAAGTTCGTTGAATATGGCCTGCTGTGTCTGATCTATAGATCTCTACCAGGCAGTAAAACTGTACACTGATGCGGCAAGCAAAGAGAACGGGAATTATAGTTATCAGCTTTTTACATAAAGGATAAATAATTTTCATTTTAATTATTCCCAGTACGTGGATCTATACATCCACTCCCCCTATACGTCTTCACAGCGTAGTGCTTAATTAGTTAAGCACAACTTTGTTTTAATCTCTTAAAGAGATTTCTACTGTTTGCCTTTGAATACAGAAACAACTTATCCAGTTTACGAGGCATGTAGTTTATTGGACAGTAATAGAGAGTGGGTTCAGTTTAGCTGCCGTCCTGTGATCCTAAACACGGCATAATTACTAGGCCTGCACCTGCAAGGCACACGTAATAACAGCCTTGCGCTGCGGATTATATTGTTACACCGTACATTCCCCGATATAAGGTGGCCTAGTATTCTTCCAATGATAGAATCAGACTAATTTCGATGTGTCATTTAGTTCTGGGGGTTTTAACCACAAAGAACTAAGATCTATATGCTACTAAGAAAAATACGTTTATATTTTAATAGCGGACTCAGTTGAGTCATTATGCTACAAGCCGGAAGGACGCAGGGTGGATTACCAATGAGGGCACTGGATTTTTCAATTGACCAATCCTTCCTTCCGCACTATGGCCCTGGGGTCGACTCAGCCTCTAACAGAAATGTGTACCAAGAATCTTCCTGGGGATAAATAGCGGCTGGCGCGTAAGACTGACAACCTCACTGCCATCTGTGAGCCACTAGTCTAGAACATTCAAGCGTTGTTTCATAGATAAATAAGAGCAAATAGCTTAGCACCACATTTAAACCAGGAAATTGCAAATTTTTAAATCATAAAATTATCCAAAAAAGGACCACTACCAATTTATTATAATGGTGTCATGAATCTACAATGAAACAATATTCTTTCTGGAGCCGGGACTGCTCAGTCGGTATAGCGACGGAATACTGGGTGGAGAGTCGGGGTTCGATTCCAGGCAGAGGCAAGATATTTCCCTCAACTCCACAACGTCCAGACCGGCTCTGGAACCCACCTAACCTCTATCCATTGGGTACAGGGAATTAGTTCGTCTGAAGTAAAACGGCTGGGGCGTGAAGCTGATCACCCACATCAATCTAGTACCGAAGTCAAGAACGGTGGAGTTATGCCTTCACTCCCCAATACAGTCTGATGGCCTTGTGATTAATTAATTAAGTACAGAGACAACTAAACTTTTTCGTAATATTCTTTCTCGTAGAGCTTACAGAAAAATGCCGCCAATTAAATGTCTTTTTCTGAAATATTTCATTTTTACTCACAGCAATAGATTCACAGACACTGAATTTCCGTGCAAAGTACTAAGAGTTATGGGCCACAACAAGGAAAGCTAAGAATCTTAGGTCTTTAACTTAACCTCTTAACTAGAAACGAAATAATTATTCACCCTAGGCCCAACTGTGTTCGGGCAGGAACCGATGTGGTACTGTAGCTTGGGGAATTGAGAGGATAACTAAGGTGCAACATGTAGCAGTGACTGGACCGCCGGCCGTATCAACGGCTGAGGCCGGGCGGTAAGCCAGACCACGCCAGCAGACTGCAGCCTCGTGAAACAGGCTGACAGTCCCACTAAGTAGGCACACTCAGTAACGTCAATAATTTATCATTATCAGTAATAACAATATTTAAACAATATTAGGTTACTATGGCGAGCCAAGATAGCACAGTCGGTATAGCGACTCGACGACCGAGGGGTCGGATTTCGAGTCCCGGCAGGGCCAAAAATTTTCTTTACTCCACGTTGTCCAGACCGACTCTGGGGTCTTCCCAGCCTCCTATCCAATGGGTCCCGGGGGATATTTCTCCGAGGATAAAGCGCTTGGGCCGTGTAGCTGACCACTCACCTCCAACTAGTGCCGAGGCCAAGAAAATCTGGATATATACACCCACTCCCCCCAATACGTCTCCAATGCGCAGCGCTTAATTAGTTACGCACAGGGACAATTATACTGTATCTTGCATTTATATTTTTACGCCATACTACGTGCTATCCTTTCCTTGTATCAGGGTCAAATTTTTGTCAAGGTTTATCCTGTGATAGGTTCACAAAATATGCATTTGAAATTAAATTAACTGTTGCATTTCTATCTGCACTAAAATGTGCGCTTTTCTATTATTATTATTATTATTATTATTAGTAGTAGTAGTAGTAGTAGTAGTAATAGTAGTAGTAGTAGTAGTAGTAGTATTGTTTGTCTGTTAACACCTTCTGTGTTAACGCATTTTTCTTATGTCAATGATTGGCTTATAGCTGTTGTCAGGTATTATAATAAATGAATTGAATTAATTTTCATTTCTTATTCTTAGTGGGGTGATACTGAATCCACGTGGTACTGAGGCCACTATTTGCCTATTGTACCAGCCCCGGGCGGTAGATGATGGTAACTGTGGAGCAACGGGTAGGATGAATACTGGCAGAGGAAACCGAAGTATTCGGAAAAAACCTGCCCGGGCTCGAACACGGACTGCCGCAGTGGGAAGCCAGCGACTAAGCGCCTGAGCTGCACTCTCATTGAATTAAATTAGTGTTAGTTAAAGTTATTATTACACTGACTGATGGCTTTGTTTTCTGCCCCGCACGCCGCTGTGAGTACGTTGATGTAGGCGTATATATCTGGAAGTTGTGCTGTGATTGCTGAGCTAGTCTGTTGTAACGGAACACTTAAAATACGTTGCAAGACTCTGTAATTTGGCCACATTGGTTATAAGCCCTGGAACTTGCTTTTCACAAATCTCAGTGTCGTCACTTCTGGTGATATAAATATAGACCTGTTAGTTTTACTAAACATAAACCAGAATACGTCTGCAATAAATAAACTATACCAAGTTGTCATTTCACGTGCAGAAGAGGAATTTCTTCCGGTATTTGAAATTATAATTTAAGTAACCGCTCTTTATCAACAGTGTTGATAAATACACCATTTATTGTTGTCAGATATGACACAAGGTAGCGGAGCCTAAATTCGAAACCAAGTATCATATCACAGAACTCTCCTACAGATAACGGATATGACAAAACCATTTCAGTGTACGAACTTATGCCATGTAGTTAACCACGATTGATTTCCGTTGCTGTCTCGGAGCCTCTCAGCTGTTAATGCACTGGAAATACCTAATAACACAAAACAAAGTTTTTCTAATATATTTTTCACGTTAATAATAAACTGAAAAAAAAAGAAGGGGCGCAAAAGCGAGGAAAAAGAGGCGTTATTCCTCATGAGATGGGGGGAGAAACTGGGTTTGGTTAATATTCTCACTCCCCCAGCTTCCACTTTGTCTCCCTTCCTCTTTGGCTGTGTGCTGACCCCGCCCCCTGTTGGTTCCTCCCACTTCCCAGGACAGTGACATGCAGTGCACCCTCGTGTTGTGATAGGGAACCGTGTGTGTGTGTGTGTGTGTGTGTGGTTTGAGAACTTCAGGGTCGGAGTGCTGAACCGACAGGGGGGAAAACCCTTCGAAACCTCAATCCTGCGTGCAGCAAAACAAAACCTTGGCGGTGTGCGGTTTTGTTTCAAGCGATGTGATTTGTTCTGTTTTTTTTTATTATTATCATAGACAGTGCTTGTTGTTAACGCTGTGTAGTATGTTCAATTGTGTGACGGTTTTGATACCAGCGTTGCAGCAACTGAGGAGGAAGCATCGAAGGCTTCAGCAGTGCCGAAATATCTTATAGCAGTCTTTTACAAAGTTTGAAGCAGTGGAAACTTAGGTCTAATTGACGGTTATTTAAAAAAAACTAACATATATCAATGGCGTGTTGAATTGTGGCTTTTACGTGTGTATTCGTACATAATAATGATTGAAGAAAGCATGAAACCGTTCATAGACGTTAAAGCATGAAGCTCGAGAGAGAAAAGTTTCGTATGAAATGTGTTAACGCTAGGAACACTCTACGCACCTTTCATGTGCGCAGTTCAACGCAGGTCTGAATTGTAATTAAGCGTGTGAAATAGGTAAGAAATATATAATCGGTAGGTGATAATTGGGCTCAACTTATTGCAGAAGTAAATAATTGTGCATATATTGAAACTGTGACGTTATGTAGGCCTATGTGTAAAATATAAGCCCATAACTCTATCTTAATTAAAATGACATGTAAAATATTAAATATGCCGCCAAATGCACACAGAACAGATTCGAGCCGAAATTGCAGTTGAGAAGTTACCATGGCTACGACCACATTGTTACTGCAGCACCATCATCACCACGAACCTCACAAGAGACAAACAGAAGAGGAAACGAGCAGTTGCGACGGAAGTGACGTCAGCAGCCGGCATCCGCCATCACCACCGCCACCGACAATTCCGAGAGCCAGTCACCAAAATAATGATAACCTAGTGGTGATATGTGGTGATAATCTGCTTCCTCCTAGTACAGTACAGCCTCCATGTCTCCCTCGAGCGTCGTGCTCAGACGAGGATGAACGCTGTTCCAACAATGACGATGAAGATGAACTGTTGAGTGTAGGAAGTGAGACGCCGCCCCCAATAATGCCCATAACTGACCATCTCATAGGTTTAGCGTCCCCCAGTACACATATGGGCGCGGGGCTTGAAGACGACGACAGCGACGACGACGCCAGCGACGCCAAAACAGACATAGGCTCCACATCGCAATCTTCGGATTCTTGTAGCAGATCGTCGGTATCGCGATGTTCCCTGATGACGGACGGTTACTCGACTTCATCATCCATAACGTCACCTGTCCCACCGACCATCAACGCTGCGAAATTCATCCCTTCGTCACCCGAAGATCTGTTGCACAGTCATCCCAGTCTGTCGACACATCACCTCCGCCATTCCAACAACACATTCAGGAGACAGACGTGCAGATCCCAGCAGCTGAACCATTCTTCGTCCGTTGCCACGCGACCCAATAATAATGTCAACAATGTTAGTAACAATGTTTCAATGCGCGCGCTCAAATTTAGTATAGATAATATTTTAAAACCTGATTTTGGACGCCAAACAGCGCCGATATATAACATACCAATTCCGAAAAAGGGCTCTAGTGGTGGGACATTGCTATCCGTACGGAGTTCGAATGGTGCAGGTATACAAGATATATCAACAGCAAAAATTTCAAATTCGAAAAGGAACGGTGTTGCCAACAGCAGTCATGGGAAGCATGGTGCAAGTGTGGATAAAGTGGGATCGAAACATCGTAGCAATGGGGGTGCCCTACCGATGGATTTATCGAAGGTGGTTTCGCCACTCAGTTCTTCGGCCGATGGACGAGAGAGTTCGTTGGCAAGTGAGGGGACGGTCTCGGCAGTTAGCTCGCCGGCAGCCGCGGGTTCAGCCACTGGGACGCTGGCCGGCTCTTCCCAGCTGCTCTGGCCTGCTTGGGTCTACTGCACGCGGTACTCCGACCGGCCTTCCTCTGGTAAGTAGAGCATCCACTTCCCCGGAAACTGAAATTCGACGTTTGGGCTCGGTTACAAGTGATTCAGTCGTCAAAACTGGTGCGTGTTTAATGAATGCTGAGTCGGTGTTAGACCCTAAAGTTACAGAGCAACAGAAGGCAGCCTAATATTGAAATACTTAAACTATTTTAAGTGAATTAAAAAGAAATCAGTTTAGACGCAGAATTGCTGGGTCTTTGGATTAATATAACTCGCACTCAAAGCGTGTTTCGTTTTTTTTTTCGGTGACCTTCTATAGACCCATGTGTTATTTACTTGTATTTAGGCACCATAAAAGGGAAAGAATTTGAAATATTTCGCATGATTGTAATAATGGTCAACAAATACGGAATTCAATTATATCATTAAAATTTTTCAAATATTGGTATTGAAGTCCTGCAAGAAAACACCATAAAATAAATTAAACTCAGACAATCTTCCTGATACGTAAGGCCTACCGAAATATACTGGCGTTTGTAGTTCTTACCATATTTAAAGTACTTGTTTCTGCATTTTTATTGGTGTGTGCCAAGTGGGCTGGTCATTCTGTATGAGTGGGCAAAGTAGTGACCTACGAAACGAGAAGGGACTTGAAACGATCAATCCGGTTCACAGGGGATTGAAGATATTAATAGTAATATTAATATGCATAATATTACCTTTATTAATTTCAAGTTTCCCTTAGCCTCCGTACCACAAACCATATATAACGCGTTTTAATTACAAAAATTAAAGGGTGTAGAATCGTATATTTTGATGTGTATCCAGGGCAGCGGTTCCTACTGGCATACACCGAGGCTGTCACAGGGCCTGCCTACAACTTAGTATCAAAAGACTGTCCAATCCAGATTCTGTTTAACTCATTCAGTTACGATTTAAATTCTTTTATTCAGAATACCTAGATAAATTATATCATAGATTTCGAAATAAACATATAAATAATATCACGAAAATTCCGTACATGTTAGCTACTTCTACCGTCTACTAAACAAACTATTAAGAAATCCAACCGGTCAGTTTTTGCATTTATCAAAATAGCCTTACACACGGAACAGATAGACGTGCACCAGCCGTCAAAGTAAGCGAATGGGTTAATGTGTGTCTTAAAACCTTGTGATCAACCGATCATAATTTAGGATATCTTTCAAATGAATGAAATATTAATGAAGTGATTGTTTTACCTCTTTCGGCATATCTACGAATATAACGTATATTCAGTCAGTGAAAATAATTAATATCTTATTTAAAAATATTCGACTGTATAATTTCCCTTGCTAACGCTTGTGGCCCACGAAACAGAGCGAGCCATCCTACCTTCGAATAAAGAAAATTACTCATCCCTATTTTAATATTATCTCACTCCTTAATTAGAACTCTACAAATGAACGCTTATAAGTGGCGTAGATATTAAGGTCATAAGATTTAGGCACGTGTCACTTATAAACCTATACGCCTATTGCAGTGGATTATTCAACATCCGTTTCTCCAACAGAACATAATTCTGGTATCTGATTAATCTAGTAACTTAAATTTGGAAATAATTTTAGGTCTGTTTAAGTAAATACCTGAAGGTCTAAGGTGTGTTCAAAATAAATTTAAACTATTATATTTAAATATCAGACCGAAATGGACACCCTGATTTGTGATAAATTTGTGAGCTTATGAAGGGATAAATAAGTTAGTGTAGGCCTATTTTAGAAATATCTATGCCATTCTAATTACAGTCTCATGTTTAGGAATTAGAATTGTCAGCGATTTTTCCACACTGTATTATGATTACGCTTATTATGTATGACGAACTTATATTTAATAAATCTTAGTGGATTTGTGGACTCTTCGCTGTATACTTATAAGTCTAGCCTCATTATTGTGCGTGTTTCAATGCTCCAGAGCCGGCTTCTAGCATTACGCTATTTCAGCCTATTACTAGAAGAGACGACTTGGTGTCGACAGACAATAGACTGGCAGCTAATGTGCTTATGCTACTATTGATTAAAACTGACAAAACTAGATGACATTGCTATGTGAAATTGTATTTTTACTTGAAGTCCGGAGTGATAAACTCGGTATTTCTGGAAGTTTATCCTCTACAGATATTTTGTAAGCCTTATTTACTCTACCTTAGAGCAGACGGAAGAAACTTCCCGTAGTTTCTTGCCTTACAGGTCCCAATGTATAAGTTCATAACATATTACGTTTCAATTGTTTCTTAAACCGAAATAGAAAGGATAACATTTCGTTTGAATTTGTACACATAACGCCCAAAATGAACATTCATGAGAAGAGACCATCAAGTGATGTTATAATTAGGCGTATCCTTCTAGAGAAACACGGACGAAACCGTCACAGAACGTAGACAAAATCTCAAGTTTCTATTTCCTGCTCTTCATAGGTCTACATGAAGCTTGCTCACTGATTAAACTACTTATGGGGCAACAACGAATGTTAAATGTTCTCTAAAAATCTGTTACTACTATTCGGAGAAGGTATTTGATATTGTCAGGTTTTAGAGCGTGACTATTTGACGGGGTTTCGATTGGTGAATAGATGTATTGACACTTATGGGTGGTAGCTACAAATACTCGAGGAGTATATAAGTAAATTTCCTTGAATTACAAGCCTCGTCTCTGGAAGGGAATAATCAGCTTTAGGCTTCGGCAGCCCTATTCCTCAGAAATATGTCCTGTGTCCAGTAGGTTCAAGACCAAACATTCTCAAAGTAGAAATAAAATAGCCTTCGAGAACAGCGAATTTATTCGGTAAATTCAGAATGCAAAGTTGAAATCTAATTCTAACTTCCTTGATAGGTTAGCTTAGCGACAAAGCTCTAGACTCATAGTCGGTGGTCCCTCGTTTCGAGCCTCGGTCGGGATACCGATTATTTTGTCTTTTATTTGCGGTTTTCCTCGGTGCCTCAAGGCAAATGCCCAGGTACGATCTCAGGTACGCCCAGTCCGCTTCCTTACAGACCCTTTCCAGTTCATCATTCATCTGTTATCACGCTACTCGACGCTAAAAGTCGAGCTGCTGAGAACGTCTGAACACAGTCCACAGAAGACTGAGTAACTTCATGGAGCCGAGTCCTTTTCGAGAAGCTGACACTCGCCTAGTACTCAGTAATTTGTCAGCATTTTAAGGAACCAGAAGGTTCATTACCTTACTCACAAGAGCCCTTCACTGGTCCCTATCCCGAGCCAGCGTAATCTAGCCCATCCTATTTCTGTAAGCTTTATCTCGGTCTCCAACAGAAACGAGTACCAGGAAACTTCCTGGGGGTAAAGGGCGGCCGGCGCGTAAGGCTGACAACCTCACCGCCATCTGTGAGCCGATTGTCTAGAAAATGTGGGAACTTCGACGTCTCACAACCCTATGGGCTTCCACGACCTGTTACAGGGATAACTTTACCTATTTTGATATTACCCACCCAAGTAAATCTAAGTATTAAATTGCTTTTTTGTTTCTGGGTTTCCCACCAAAATATTATATGCATTTCTTTTTTCCCCTGCATGTTAGATGCCTGCCCATCTCACTCTCCTTAACTGGATAGCCGAAAATTGTGTTTGGCGAAGAGTACAATTTATGAAGCTCCTCATTATGCAGTTTCCTTCAACCTCCCGTGACTTCATCTCTCTTCGGTGCAAATGTTCCTTCCTTAATGTCAGAGGCAAAGTTTCACGGCCATACAAAACTGCAAGAAAAATTGTAGCCTTGTAATTTTTTTTAATTTTTATGTTTTTGGAGAGCAGACGAGAAGACAAAGGTTATGAAATAAACTTAATAAAATTGCAAGAGACAACCTGACGGCCGAAATTACTAGAAATGTCGGTGCAGCCTATAGGCCCAAGACGTCGGAAAAGTGATACAGAGACACGTGACCTCATGGCAACATCGATCACTTACGGTTAGCACTTTCTTGTGCCTGTAGCGCTTGCTGTGGTCTCATGCGACTCAGATAAACGTTAGGGTCATTACGGGAAGAGGACAGAGAGGGGACATCACTAAAGACGACAATTTCATTGTTTCAGCATTCTACCAACACCCTCTCTCTCTCTCTCTCTCTATGGCCCTACAGCCATTTGTACCTTGGCCGCTTTCTCAGTCTCTTAATCCTGTTCAAAGTCGACAGCACTCCTTGGACGGGGGATCAGCCCGTCGCAAGGCCGCTACTTTCAAACAGAGCAACACAGTCACAGATTAAACACCCACAGGCATCCATGCCTTGAGTGGAATTCGAACCTACGATCCCAGCGTTCGAGCGAGCGAAGACTGTTCCTACCTTGGGGAGCGCGGCCACTTGGATCGGCACGCTGTTTAGCAAGCAGAGACCAAAGTGAATAAGCCGTAGACATTACGAATTCCCGTTAAGACGCATTAACTTAATTAATTTCTTTATGCCCTAGCCAAATGTTATCAGAATGATAAGACCAAGGAGAAGGAAGAGATTGGACTTGCATATAGCATGCATGGGAGGGAATAAAGGTCTTTATAAGAAGATAAGAAATAATACGACTATGTGATGCAGATGGCACGGTAAAATTAAAATGGGTTTTATTGAAATAAGATTTGAGGATATGGACTGACTGGATTTATCCAACTTAGGATCGAGACCAGTGGCCGGCTGTTGTGGAAACGGAAACGAATCTTCAGGTTCAATAAAAAAAATTCTGGAAATTTCTTGAGTAGCTGAATAACTACTGGTTTCTCAACATGGAGTCAGATCCTTCGAGAAAGCTTGCGGTTTCCCTAAAGTGATTCCCAGTTACTCAAGTGGCTATGCAGCGTCCAGTGGTATAATAATTGGTTAATAAAAAGTAAAAAGGTAAAGGCATCCCTATAACAGACCGTGGAGGCCCATAGGGCTGTGAGACATCAAGGGTCCCACACTATCTAGACAATCAGCTCAAAGTTGGCGGTAAAGTTGTCAGCCTTAAGGGCCGGCCGCGCTTGACTCCCCAAGAAAATTATTTAATTAATTCCTGGTACTCATTT